TCTGACTGGCAAGAATTCTGCAGAAGCTGTCAGAAACTATTTGGATTGCAAACTTGCACCCCATTGGGCTGACTATCAGAATCCGAGGGATTTAGCCTCAATCAGAGCAAAGGTAAATGCTGAACTAGAAAGGATTGACAGAGCAGGACCACAGGTAGATGAAGAAGATCTCTAAATTCTCTATCTCTGACTCTGTAATGCTTTACTTTCTCTAACAGTTTAATAAGATACCAACTCTGCCTCTCTTTTTGCTTGGCTCTTATTCATATATCTGTTTCTTATTTACTTTCTTGTGTATATTCTGATTCGTACTTGATTATTGCTATCTGATTGTATCGCACTCTTACTATTCTCCTATGCTAAGTTGCCCACCAAGACTTTAATGGAAAGTTTTTAACTTTATTTTTTTTTATGGTGAAAGGCACTTCTCTGGAAATAGTTAAAGGGTTTTGGCATCATCAAAAAGGGGGAAATTGTAAGGAATAAATGTATTTAGATTTTGATGATGCTAGGTTTATTAGAATTTGAAAGTACCCCATTAGAAATTGTGTATTAGAATTTCTTTTGTAAGTTTTAGCTTAGTCTGCCTGCCAGAGTTCCATCTTGCCTCTACCAGAGTTGCTCCCAGAGTTGCTCACCAGAGAAGCCATCAGAAACTGGTCATCAGAAAGATACCAGAGTTGGCAACAGAGACGGACTTCAGAGATTGGACCAGAGAACCACTTCAGACTCTGCTAAATACCACCAGATTTCGGAAGCCCTTCCAACGGTCGTTAAACTAACGGGAAATCCCCTAACGGTTACGAACCTTTCAACGGAAGCATGGCACTGTACACGCATTAAATGCACATTTAATGTTGTACGTACGAAGAGATATTTAAAGCTGATGATTGACCATGCGAATATCTTTACGCCCCCAAAATAGCAAGTCGGAGGACCAAACGGTCAAATCAACAGTACATGCATTTAATGAAGCTGTCTTCTACACTCCAACGGGAAGACTGCTCCCAGTATATAAGATACACTCTGAAGAACTAAGAAAAAAACTTTGCCATAACTTTTGCCAAGATAAAATTGCGTAAACAACCTTCTTGAGATCAAAACTCCATTCCTAACAAGAAAAGGCCACAGTTGGAAGATAAACTTTCCTATCCTTCATCCAACTAGCAAAAGGCAAAGTTACTCAGTTCTTCAACACTTCGAGAGCTTCATATACTCATCTTTTGTGAAGAAGCAACGTTGGAGAAAACTGATTCTATATCAAACACTTCTTGAAAAAGAAGGGACGTCTCAAATTAGCTGGAGTGAGTGAAGTGGAGATACTTCAAGAGACTCAGTGAAACGAGACCAGCCATCAGGAAGCAGGACTGCATCCCGGGTGGCAACTAGACTTGAAGAAGACGAGGATTGCTTCTTAAGCTCTAGGGACTAAGGCGTTGTAAACTGTTGTTTTTGCAAGCTTAGTGGAACAGTGGACTAGAGGAACGAGTTGTTCCTTGAACCACTATAAAAACCCCGGTGTCATTTACTTTCAGCTTTTATTTTCTGCACTTAAGATTCTACTGACTAACTCTTAAGGTTGGACTCTGTGTCCAGCAGATCTTCCTTCAGAGTTATCAGAAAGGCACTTTGCCTTAGCTTTCTTCTAGAGGCTACCCGGACAGAAACTTATCCGCTGCCTGGTCTAGTTCTGCCATCAGAACCTGACCATCTCTGTCACCAGATTTCGACCATCTCTGTTAAGTCAGACTTGACTTAGAGAAAAGTTTAAATTCCTGAACAGTCTATTCACCCCCCCTCTAGACTGTTCCCATTACAAACGGGACCAACAGGACCCCCCGGTAACAACTCCACTGCTGCCCTCATCCAGCAGGCCCTCGATCCCCGGATTGAGGGGCTCCCCTTCGGCACCCCCAGGACATCAACAGCAAGCCTTCGGCTAATCAACACATGAGCCCTCAGAAGAAGAAGAGCCTTCGGCATTACCGTTATTCTCCATTTTTGACCAAGGTTTGACATTTTCGATTCATCATTGGGGAAATCCGGTGCACTCTTTTTCCCTAATTAGGATTTTTTTCCCACAGGGTTTTTTCTAATGAGTTTTTTAACGAGGCATCCCCCCAAAATGAAACGAAAAGCGTCAGCCTTTGGCTAATCAACAGCAACGCAACTACTTTACTCCTTTTCACCACTTTACAAGTGTCTCAAGGAGTGGGGGACTGGGAACCCCCTCGGGAAAAACATTAAATTACAAAACTAGTGAAATTCCAAACAAACGACAAAGCAAGCCCTCAAGTCCCGACATGTGGGTAACTGAGGGACTGCCTTCGGCAGGGACATAAAAGCAACAACTTCTCACCAACTTCAGAGGTTACGACAGGACAACGTCAAAGGGCAAGCACAAATTACTCCTTTTCCCTCAAGTACCTTTCGACAAAAGGAGTGAGGGACTCCTGATGGAGTATATGACCCGGGAACCCCCGGCCCACAGACTCCTACTACTCCAGCGAAGGCCCACCAGGCCCGGAAGGCCCAACAGGCCCAGATCACAGCACCCAGAGTACCAAGCAGCCCGCACTACGTGCCAGGGGTGCCTTCGGCCCCCCAGCCGAAGGCTCTAAACTCTCACAGAATGGGTCTCTCAAGCAAATTAAGAAACTGGGAGAAAACGGCGAAAACAGTAGCCCTCGGCACTGTGAGCCCTCGGCACCAGGGTGCCATCGGTTGGAGGAGCCCTCGGCTACTGCTCTATAGCCGAAGGCATCTCACTCGACAAGATATCCGCCTCACATGCGTACAGATCACCGTATCCTGCACGGACGTCCCATCCAACAGCCGCATTAAATGCAGCCACATGCGGCTGCCAGCGCCAATCAGTTGAGGTGACCCCTCAGCCAATGAGCGCTTGACACGTGTCCTTGTCCGGCATTTATTGCTACTATAAATAGCACCCCATTTCCCCATTTGTAACCACGCTGAAAACGCTCCACATTTATAATACACTCTCTCCCTCTACATTTACTTGCTCTGACTTCTCTCTAAGTTATTCCCAGCAATAACCCTTCGGATATATACCCCCGGGTAGACTATCCATCACAATCATACCACTTAAAATATCTTTTCAAATGTTTCAATTTATGGTGTTTTTTTATAAAGAATTGGAGAGACCACTTAGCTTTTGGAATGGGCTGAACCCCCAAATGGGTTGTTAAATCAAGGCTGCTGGAAAACATGATTGAGTCAAAGGTGGGCTAGCCCAATGTTTTGTCTTGTTGGCATAAATGGAGTCCACTCTCTATGGCCCAAATGCATTGGTCAAACTGACCTAGAGTTCATGTCCAGACTGCCGTGAATAGAATGAGGGTGTGGCCGAACAGAGAGGCCTCTCTGGAGCCTTCAGCCATCATTGGTACTTCTCGCCATGCCTGCCGTCGGATGGTCCTCGAACTGTGTGGTTCACATCGATTCCAAGGATTTACAGGTCACGGGTCGTGCAGAGACCTTGGCCGGCTCCATCTCCTGCTGCACTCCCGGCTCCATCTTCAGCTGCATTCTCGCCTGAAGACCTAAACATCAACGTCGAGATGCATTCTACGGCTGACGAGGCCGCAACTCCGGTTTTTTCGATGATGACGACTACAGGCTGCAGCAGCAGCTTGGTGAGATCTAGAGTGGTCGTATCTTTAACAGTGACGGTGGGACCAAGACAGCGATCCTTCAACGTCGGCGAGAGATCTGCAGTTAGGGTAGGTGCTTCAGGCCACGGCGGAGGTCAGGATGGCGGCGACAGAGCTTGCTCGACGATAGATTTGATCGTTCTGAGCAGTGACCGACAGATCTGTGGCGGGACTAGAGACGCGAGCAGTGGCCTGAGACCCCATGACAGAGGCAGAGGAAGGAGCGGCAAGAGACAACGAGAACCGGAAACGGGCTGGGTGAGCTTCAGCGGGCAGAGAGCTTGTGATGACACACGGCGGCGGCCGGCAGCGGCATCTCCGGGCATAGATCTTCACGCATCCAGCTTTTTTTTTTGCTGAATTTCAAGAACAAGATTTTTTAATATTGTGAGTAACAGACCACAAGAACTGTTAGAAACCTTCGATCTTCATCCATTTTTTCTGAAATTTCCTACTAGAGTGATGAGAGAGACAATAGAGGCTCTCAATGAATGCACCAATGTTGGTCCAAAATAGGACGCTCGTAGACTTTTAGGAAAGCTATGTACGACATTCAAGCAAGAATTAGGAAAGTACGAATATGGAAAGTTAGCCAGAAATAGCATATAGAAGTTGTCTCCCCTAATCTGAATTACAACACGCATTTTATAGACGTATACGAATCGTAACCGCTACCGATAATAATGACTAATTAATTACAACATTAATAAAGAATTAAATACATAATTAATAGTGCATTAATTGCTTGACTGTTACTCTTCCGGACTGGGAGGTCGGTCGGACTGGCAGGCTCTCCGCTGGGTTGGCAGGCAGGCTCTAGGTTGTGGGCTTGGATACACGGGTCCAAGTTCGGGGCTTGGGTTGATTAGGCTCTGGGCCTAGTCCTATTACTCCATCACATACATTTACTCTTCTCATGTTATTTAGTTTTATACTCATAAAAATGTCAACAAAGCCAGAAACCCATAGTGTGGACTGGAGCTTTCAAAACCGACTTTTAAACATAAATGAAGAATTAGATGCTAATATGCTATGCAATTTCCAAGAAGACCACATTTGTTTTCTAATGCTAGTGACACTTCCCATGATAGTATGTAACCATGTAAGTAACTAACTACCAAAAGGTTTTAATGCCAAAAATGTATCGCACATAAGGAGTGCATTTTCTAAGACATTTTAAATAATATTCGGTATATGGAAGTCACATCTCCAAACATTCCTTACTCTTTCGGAAAATGCATTTCAAATGTCCCTTTTTAGATTTTTAAACGATCTTTAATAGTACGTGTATTATTAGGTATTGTTTTGTTGTATTTAACAAATGTATTTAAAATGCATTTGCCAAATTCGACACATATGGCATTAATAGGATGCCTTGGATCTATTTCTTAACTTAATGGATTCTTACCTTTGTATCTTTACCATTACAGCTGATTGGGGTGTTTGGTAGCCTTGCCAGTTTCATGGATAGAGATGGAAGTTTTCGGGATGCATTTAATGACTCTTGGAAGCCAATGTTTTCTAGACATCCGGTTTGCTTATATTACAGTACAGGTGTGTACTGTACTTTCAATTGAGTATAATTTACTTAAGCCAATTTCCACACAATTCCAACAGTAAGGGATAAAATTTTACGAGGCACGTTTTTTTTTGCAATTGAGTATAACTTTGATATTGTGAACGGAACAGGGGCAATTGCGATGTTTCTTCTTGCTGGGATTATTGGTTTTGCATATAATTTATGGGCTATCGACACTGAGAACAGAGAAGAGTTCCGGAATGAATGTTTTGGGTTGGATTATTTTGGAATGTTTTTTGGCATCATCAAAAACATTCATTCCTCTGGCTCTGGCTTTAGTATCCGCCTTTACTGTATTTGGTGTTGCATATGGTTTCTTGTTGGGTACATTGGCCTTCCATAAAAGCTGGCAGAAACACCGTGATGTTCTCTCAAAGCGAAGCCTTACAGAGGTCCATTTCACTTCTCTTGATTTAAATAACAAGGCTGTAGTAGTAGCATGTCATGTAGCAGTTCAGAGTATTTTTTTCTCTTTGACAATTGAATGTTGGCCGACCCCGAAGTGTTTTGGGACTAAGGCTTGGATGTTGTTGACAATTGAATGTTGCAGGAGTACATAGTGGAGGATCTTCATGGCTATTACTTTGCACCGCCAAAATTGGACCCTGAACATGAAGAACGCTTGAGAGCACTTAAACTTCTGTAGGCATGGAAAGTTGAGTGATTTTCTCTTTGAGTATGTGATTAATTTTTCTGTAGCAGCCAATTGGTTGTTTAAGTTAACCTATTTTGTCATGGTTAGTTCATAGAGGGGGAAGTTGAGAACCTGTTTATGTCAGTTCATGGTTCTTGCCAGGGAACCTTTTCCTTTCATAGAATTATAGATGATGAAAGTATTACCTTGTAAATAACAATGCACCCATTTGTAATGTTTTGTTTTATATTGAAGAGATAGAAAGTCATTTATTGTGGCAGCATCTTAATATTTGAAATCGCAATTGATGTCTTGTGTTAGAAGATCATTATGGAGTGGCAGCATCTATAGATGTCAGTTAGTTGAATCACATATCCTTCATTCATATGGTTGTGTAGAAATTCATTTGGCATTTCGTGGTGCGAATGTCTCCTCATGTTCAATGCATTAGTCTTGTGCTTGTTTGGTGAATGTTCCTCACCATACTTGTAATAAAGGATCATAGACATGCTGAATGGCTCACGCAAACACAGCTTAACTCTCCTGTAGGAAATTCCCTAGTGTACTGTTTCAACACCTGTGAGAACTTCTCCTAGTGTACTGTAGAAGTTAGCAACTATTAGCCATTCTTGTTCCAGCAGGAATTTGAAAAGCCTGTTAATCACCACCAATTAACAGAAGAGTTAATCATAAATTACAATTTCCAATTTAGGAGTTTACTTGGATAAGAGTAAAACATGGGAGTAGTTCCAAAATAGAACCTTATGTTTTTTTATAGGGGTGAGCGTGGTCCGGAACGGTCCGGGAAATTAGCAAACCCTGTAATGTATTCATGAAGTTTTAAACGGTCCGGTACGGTTCGGTTCTAGGATTGGAACCATTCGGTACCATGTCATTTCGGAATGATACAAAGCGGTACGGTACAATGCTAAAGTAATGCCAAAATTATTACAAAAACCTAGCAATTAGTATTTACTAAGTTTATGCAATACAGATACCATCATGCCAAGTTAAAATGATAAAAACTGCCTGGAAAAGAGCATACAATTTAGATTAAAAAACTCAAAACAGTCCAACAAAACCTCATTGTTAGCTGATCTCCCAACTAACAGAGGATTACAAATACACTAATTACCAAGTTACTAACTGCCTGGAGGATATCTTCCAGCTTTAGTTTACAAAAACTCAAACACTACCAACCATTTCAAATGATAAAAAAAGAGCATACTAATTACCAAATTACTAACTCCCTGGAGGATACCAAAACAGTCCAACAAAAAGTCATTGCTAGTCATTACAGTTTACTCATTTAGTCTTTAGTTTACAAAAACTTAAACAGTCCAACAAAATTAAGGATATGGGAACAATTTAATTAGTGCATCATTCTTGACATTCATCCTTCTAGATCTTCATTGCTAACCCAGCTCCCAGCTTTTTCATTTGCCAATTCTAGAAATGTAAACATAATTTATAATTATAACAACTAAAAATAAAGTTATAAAACTGTACAAACAAGTATTGATTATAGAATGATAAACATAGAGTGCATACTTGTAAGGAATATAATGGAATTTACATTTTTATAAACCCGTTGAAAGTAATATATACCTGTCTCAATGCCTTCATAAAACTCCAGCTCTTCTGCACATGGTTCATCTTGGAACTGAAGGAGTATGTCATCCCCTCGAAGCCAATTTTGCATACAAATTAATGCCTCAACTGATGTGGGAGTTAAGGAACTCCTAAATAGGAATTGACTTGGATAGGAGTAAAACTAGGTCTGGGATCGGTTCGGTTCTTGATAAAATTCGATGGAACTGTATAAAAATCGTAGGCATTAAATTCGGTTCGATTCTAGTTAAAAATCTAGTTGTTAAATTTGGTTCGGTTCTAGTTAAATTCAGTTCGGTTCTTACCTTTTTACGGTTCCTTATAAAAATTTATTATTCTCCTAAAATGAACACATTTTACCTTCACTTAAATAAAAAAATCAAATTTAAATCATGAAATTATGACCATTACATTATACATGGATGATATCTCAATGTTCAAATAAAAAAAAATATGCAAGTGCAAAATTAAATTTAAACATAACAAAAATATCGGTTTAAAATAGGCATCGACTGTCAAGCAAAAAGGTTCAATAGCTCCAAAATACACATCCAATAGCAGGTAGTTCAACCCCAAAATAATATTCTTCTACTAGTAATGCACAATAAGTAAAAAGTACGTAGTAATAAACAACATAATCAACAGAATATTAATTCCCTTTTGAGGTGAACTCCGATAACAAATACAATTACAAACAAACAATAAATATAAAAGTGGGTTGAAGAATTAAAATAATAACTACTTGGATTGGCCTAGTCCACAATATACAAGGTATATTATGCAAAACAAATATTTTTGACAAAAAAATTTCTGCCCGGAACGCCGTCTGCCTCCACTTGTGGTGCTTCCGTGTACAATTTTTTGATAAAATTTTGTAAGCATGTTCTACACGAAATGTAGATTATATATACCAAAGTTTAGCTTAAAATTCAATCGATAAGTGAGTTAAATAAAATATTGAAAAACATTGTGTTTTTTTTATATATTTTGGCGTAATGTTTTTCAATAATTTATTTAACTGACTTCCTGGTTGCATTTAAAGCTCAAATTTGGTGAACATAATCATTATTTCATGAACAACAAGCTCATAAAATTTCATCAAAAAAATCTACCCAGAAGCATCTCAAATGAAGATTACTCATGCAATGTATAAGAAGTTCGGTTCCTGGCTAGGAACCGGAACCGAATTGGAACCGAACCGGAACCAAACCGATGAAATACTATAGGAACTGAACCGAAAAAAGCTGAAGTCCAATATTATAGGAACCGAACCGAACCGGAAATTTCGGTTCGATTCGGATCGGTTTTCCCGGTTTTACGGTTCCAAGTCTCAGCCCTAAGTAAAACATAGGAGTAGTTCCAAAATAGAACCTTATGTTTTTTACTTTTTTATTCCCAAAATAGGAGTTTAATAGAGTTCAATTCCAATCCTACCCTTATCCCTATTTCTTTTTCCTCCGTAGCCCCCCAGATTAGAGATGGCAATTGTGACCGAACCGGTGGATACCCGCACCGAACCGCCTCAGTCAAAACGGTGAAAGCCGCATTGACCGGGTAACAGGTACGGGGCGGGGAATACCCGATTTGTTTTTACGGGTAATGGGGCGGTTACGGTTTTATACATGTCCGCCTCATTACCCGCCCCATACCCGCCCCGATTATTTGTAGTTATATTTTTATTATATTTTTATATATTACTTGTCTCACAATTATTAAAAGATAAGATTTTTTCTTTCCATTGTGTATATATAGATAATAGATGTACTAACTATAATGTACGAATGAAAGTTCATACTAGATTTTGAATCAAAATTTTTGATAGTCTTGTTTGATTATTATCATATTTTTTTCGTGATTAATTATTTTTTAGATTAAGTATTTTAGGTTCAAATTATTTTAAGTTGCTTCTTTCTCGTCTTGTAGACATACGAATATCTAAAGTGACATCTGAAGTGTAGAGTCGTCTAGGCGATATCATTCTTCGCCTTTTAAAATATTATTTTTATATCAAAATTTTATGACTCAACTAATAAAGTGGTTATCCGTGGTTACCCGAAGTTTTACCCGTTACCCATTGGGATTTGGGGCGGTTATGATTTAGGTAAAAATTACTCGTTGGATAATGGGGCGGTTACGGAGCGGGGAAATTACCCAGGCGGTTACGGTTATATGTAAAACCCTCCCCATCCGCCCAGTTGCCATCCGTACCCCACCCAGACCCATTTCGTTTCTCCCTGTCTTATCCCTTCTCTGTTCCGCACACTTCCTTCCTCTCAAATGAAGTTTACCTACGTTTCTTCTCCCAAGCTCCAGCCAGCGATGAACGGCGGACGGCATAGGTAAGGCTCTTCTTCTTTCTTCTTCTTCTTCTCTTCTTCTCCACATCCTCCTTGTATTCATACTCCTTGGTTCTCATCTGTTAAACTCTTTCTATATTTTATTGAATTTATTTGTTTAATTTTGAGATTCAAAATAAAATTTGATATTTTAGATCTAAAACTTTTGGTGAACATAATCATTATTTCATGAACAACAAGCTCATAAAATTTCATCAAAAAATTCTACCCAGAAGCATCTCAAATGAAGATTACTCATGCAATGTATAAGAAGTTCGGTTCCTGGCTAGGAACCGGAACCGAATTGGAACCGAACCGGAACCAAACCGATGAAATACTATAGGAACTGAACCGAAAAAAGCTGAAGTCCAATATTATAGGAACCGAACCGAACCGGAAATTTCGGTTCGATTCGGATCGGTTTTCCCGGTTTTACGGTTCCAAGTCTCAGCCCTAAGTAAAACATAGGAGTAGTTCCAAAATAGAACCTTATGTTTTTTACTTTTTTATTCCCAAAATAGGAGTTTAATAGAGTTCAATTCCAATCCTACCCTTATCCCTATTTCTTTTTCCTCCGTAGCCCCCCAGATTAGAGATGGCAATTGTGACCGAACCGGTGGATACCCGCACCGAACCGCCCCAGTCAAAACGGTGAAAGCCGCATAGACCGGGTAACAGGTACGGGGTAGGGAATACCCGATTTGTTTTTACGGGTAATGGGGCGGTTACGGTTTATACATGTCCGCCTCATTACCCGCCCCATACCCGCCCCGATTATTTGTAGTTATATTTTTATTATATTTTTATATATTACTTGTCTCACAATTATTAAAAGATAAGATTTTTTCTTTCCATTGTGTATATATAGATAATAGATGTACTAACTATAATGTACGAATGAAAGTTCATACTAGATTTTGAATCAAAATTTTTGATAGTCTTGTTTGATTATTATCATATTTTTTCGTGATTAATTATTTTTTAGATTAAGTATTTTAGGTTCAAATTATTTTAAGTTGCTTCTTTCTCGTCTTGTAGACATACGAATCTCTAAAGTGACATCTGAAGTGTAGAGTCGTTTAGGCGATATCATTCTTCGCCTTTTAAAATATTATTTTTATATCAAAATTTTATGACTCAACTAATAAAGTGGTTATCCGTGGTTACCCGAAGTTTTACCCGTTACCCATTGGGATTTGGGGCGGTTATGATTTAGGTAAAAATTACTCGTTGGGTAATGGGGCGGTTACGGTGCGGGGAAATTACCCAGGCGGTTACGGTTATATGTAAAACCCTCCCCATCCGCCCAGTTGCCATCCGTACCCCACCCAGACCC